CCTCAATGCTCTTCAACTTTGTACTTGTTTGGCTTTATAACTATTTTGATCTGAGCGTCACTGATGAGTCTTATGTAGACGAAACGCGCGTCTGGCGTATTAAATTATAATCCTGGAACTTTTGATAAATATTTACACCACTGGGTCGATGCCACTGCTGGTGGACGTTTCGTCCCCGAGGGTATCACCAGCCCAGTAGTCAGTACTTCGGTGTTGACATGAATATCAATTATATGGTCATTTTTATAAATTTCCTGTTACAAAACTTTGAATTTTTCGAAAAACTAAGGATTTTCTTATCCCAGGAACAGATTACCTAAGCCGTATTTGGCACAACTTTTTGGAATTTTGGGTCCTCAATGCTCTTCAAATTTGTACTTGTTTGGCTTTATAACTATTTTGATCTGAGCGTCAATGATCAGTCTTATGTAGACGAAACGCGCGTCTGGCGTATTAAATTATAATCCTGGTACCTTTGATAACTATTGACCATTTTGCATCATAGACAAGGCTAGTGGAGTCTCTGACAGACTTTGTGAGATGCTTGGTTGCTCCATCAGAAAAAACTCTCTTTCTGAAGCTAACCCTGAGAGAAGCCAGGCGTGTAGATGAAGTTTGGATTTTGATAAAGAACCTTGCCTTTGATTTAAGACGGAAGGTCTGGTCTCAGAGGAAGAACTAAAGGACAAGCACATGATAGGCGCAGAAAGTCTGGAAATCAAGACTGTTTGGGCCATGCTGGAGCATTAACTATGATCTTGCAGTTATCCCCTGCTATTTTCTGAAGTACTGGGGCGAGAAACCTGAAAGGAGGGAAGGCGTACCCTAACATTCCTTTCAAAGATAGTTTCGTTGCGTTTACCGCAAAAAATTTTGGATCTGGAACCGGAGACACAAATGTGGGAAGTTTGTAATTGAGACTGGTCGCACACAGATCTATCTGAGGTGACCCCCAATGAAGAGTCACAGCTTTGAAAACTACTTGAAGTAGTTCCCACTCCGTGTTTACTGGAGCAAGGGGTCTGGATAGAGTGTCGGCTAGAATATTGAGGTGCCCCGCAATATGTCTCACCACAAGATGAACCTGGAGTTGAAAACACAGAAGGAGAATGTCTCTGGCTATCTGATAAAGAGAAGGAGAGTGAGTTCCTCCCTGATTCTTGAGATAAGCTACAACTGTTGTGTTGTCCGTGGCCACAATGACAGACTGATTCTTTAGAGACAGTTGGAAATGATTCAGTGCAAACAGAACTGCTTTCATTTCCAATACATTGATGTGCTCTTCCAAAAGATCTGTAGTCCAGACTCCCGAGATTGTAAGCCCCTCCAGATAAGCTCCCCAACCGAGGATGGAGGCATCTGTGAATAAAGTTAGACTAGAAACTTGAGGGGACAAAGATAGGCCCTCATTACATTTTCCCGTACTAACCACCATAGAAGATGTGAAAATAGAGGCTGAGTGATTGGAATCAATGCTTCCCATTCTTGTGAAGCTGGAATCCAAAACTTGTGCAGATAAAACTGAAGAGGACGAATGTATAGGCGTCCCAAAGGAATTACATCTGCCAGAGAATTCAATAGACCCAGAAGTTGCAAGAATTGACGTGCTGTGACTGATTGAACAGTCAGGAATAGATATATTTTCTGACATAGTTTTGTAAATTTTTCCTCTGGGGGGAGAACTGGGCCTAGATTGTTTCGGAAATGTTTTCCCAGGAAAACAAAGTCTTGAGAAGGAACTATCTCTGACTTTTTCCAGGAAACTAGGAAGCCTAGGGACAGATAGCAATTGATGACCAAATCTGTCTGAACCCTCAATTTGATTGGGAAAAATTCCTTGAGAAGGGTATCGTCCAGGTTGGAATGAATCTGTATAGACAGGGAATGTAGGTGAGCTATAGCTGCCTGCATGATTTTGGTAAAGCCAAAGGGGCTGTAGATAGGCCAAAAGGGAGAGCCTTGAACTTTGTTGTTCCAAACGAAGCGAAGGTATTTCCTGTAAGTATGGGAAATGGGAATGTGGAAATAAGCATCTGAAAGATCCAGAGAGGTAGTCCCCATTCCTGGGAGGATTGAAGCCCTGATTGATCTGTTGGTTTCCATTTTGAAATGGGGAACAATAAGAAAGTTGTTCAGAATAGATAGGTCTATGACCGGCCTCATTCCTCCCGTCTTCTTTGGAACCAGAAAGAGACGGGAATAAAATCCCGGAGACAGAATTAAGAGCGGCAGCTCCTCTATTACAGGTGTCTGTAACATTGTGTCTACTTCTACTGATAGAAGTTGATACTTGACTGGGTCTTGAGTATGAGACAAACTTATCGGAACTGCAGACAGAGGAGGTGGGTTCTTGAACTGAAGTGTTAATCCCCCTCGAATTATTGACAGCACATAACAGTCTGAGGTAATTTTCTTCCACTGATTTAGGACAAAACCTAACCTCCCCCTACTGGTATGGATTTTTGAGGAACCTGTTGTAAATTTTCCACTGGGAAAGCTGTCAATAACGTACGAGGGGGCAAGAACCTTGGTACTAGACCCAGATTTCTTGGGGCCCTTAAAAAACTACCAGAAGACTTACCTGAGCTTTTACCGGAGTTAAGGGATTTGTTCTGAGGTTTGCCGTAGTGATTCTTCCTTTTCTTAGCAGAAGAAGGAGGACCACCAGAAGCAGAAGTACTAGTAGAACTAGAGGTAGCATTAGCCGACCTTTTGCCATTGTTAACTTGTACATTAACTTTGACGGGAGGATGGTTTTTACTGAGTTCCTCTTGAACCCGCTGTACGGGTTAACCAAAAATTTTGTCAGAAAGTGGAGATTTCAGTAAAGAATCTTTCAAAGACTCAGCAACAGAAGTTTTTTCAAGAAACTCTACTCTTTTAGATAGGGTGCAATTAGCAATAGAACCCATTAAAAGCAACTGAGATGAACCTAGAGCTTTATCCAGTTGAAGTAAGAAAGATCGTACTTCCGCTGGAACAACCGAATCTTCGCTGTTATGCAATTGTCCGGATGCAGCTAGAAAATGTTCGGCTGTGCCAAGAACTTGAGAAGCACTACGAAGGAGATTCTCAGTTTTTGCCCAAACAGGTTGAGTGAGACGAAGACCATCTACTGGCTTTGTTCCCAATAAAGATGAAAAAGATGTGTCACAAGTGGGAACTAGTCTACCCAACGAAGAATCAAAGATATCAAAATCTTTGTACTTGAATTGATCAGAAAAGGAAGACATACCAAAACCAGAAATTTGGTTATTAGCAACCTTTTCACTAGCAGAATTAGCAATACCTTCATTGATAATTTGTAAAGCAAATGCCATATGGCCAGATTCAGGAAAAGAATTGTGAGAAGTCACAGAATCCTGAGAAATACCACAGGAAGCTTCAAAAGTTGAAGAAAGTCTCTTCGGCTTTGGAGGAGATGCAAAAGGGATATGTGCTCCATCCCTCTTCAAGGTGTACACCTTATCCTTAAGATCCTTCAAAGATAAAGGAGGATCCTCAGTCTCCTTGGTAGCAGGTTGGCGAGCTGAATTAGAAGAAGGCTCAGGGGCCGTCTTCGATACCTCGGGAGAAGAAGAACTATCATCATCCTCATCAGTGAGGAAAGCCCTTTCTTGACTCCCAGGGGAAACAGAAAGCTCGTCATCCTCCCTCTCACCATATTCTACAGACTTAGCTGGAGAAGGTTGATGAGAAGAAAAGAGGGACAAAAGATACCAGAGGGACAGTCAAACTCATAGATCGAAAACAAACTGACAACGCCATGGCCAAAAATAAAAAGACAAACAGACAAATAATAGTACAGATGACACAACATAGAAAACTAAAGACTAGGCAACACGAACCCCACCAAAAACTGGGGGTGATCTCAGGTGCTCCGGAAGGGTAAGCAGATCCTGCTCTACATGTGGCACCCGTCGTGTTGCTTATGTTATTACAAATCCGGTAAATAGTCTAATTCGGTAGGTCACATTCGTGAAAAGGGAAGGGTATTGTAGTTACGACATAAGGAACATATCCGATATCATCTGTGAAACGGTTATTCCATAACGGTCACCATTTGGAACTCTTGGTTTAATAGCTTCCTTGTGAGCAGCAGTCCTCTATCAAGGAAATCATGATAGGAAATACAAGCCCGGGAATATCGTATCAATTGGGAGATATATACTCCGTATGCAGGCGCTGCTGGAATGTTGCTACATAGAAATGGAAAGTTCACAATTGGGAAGCTGAAATCATCTTTTTCTCCAGTAGAGACCTACGAATGGATAGAGTACTAAACTCAGCCTTGAAAGACTCACCAAAGTCCAATAGTAACTTCTGAAACCCATCTGAGGATGGTGCAGAATCAGAACCCTGAGTACCATGAGAAGAGCTAGAAGAATGTGATCGAGAGTCAGGTAAGGGAGCAGCAGGAGCTACTGCAGGAGTCAAAGATACTGCCACAGGTGGAGCAGAAGCTAAAGGTGGAGCAGTAGCTACCCCAGAAGGAGGTCAATAGAAATTGTCCCTGTAAGGCAAAAAACCAGGTTTTTTTTGGCATAAACCCACCATAAGGGTAAGAATGTGGCCAAGGTGGCTGAGACCATGAGGGTAAAGGTTGGGTGCCTGAGTTGGGAAGCATATACTCACAATAGGATACTGGGGGTCTAGAACATGGCAAGTTCAAGCCCATAGCTATACCTGTATATTGTGTCCATTTTTGCCCCAACTGTTCAGGGTTGGACTTCTGCGGTCGTATCCAGCTGCGCTCGGCGAAGCAATTTATTGTAACTGTGCTTCGGTTGCCTCAAAATAAAGTTACATAAATTGGTCACAAAGCTTAGCTTTACCAATAACAAATTACAAGGAAATGTACATGTGGTGTACTGGTGTCTTTTTCTGACTGGTATGCGTAAAAGGAAATGTGGGATATTGGTTAAATATACATTAACACAAAGACATTTTAGAGTCGATGTATGTTATGGCCTTCAACAATAGACAAAAAAGAGGTAGGGTCAACTTTCCCTTCATTTATTTCATGCAAAAACCATTTTCAAAAAGTCTTTACTAAAATGTGCATCGTGATAGCTTCATGTTTGCACTGTGATGTTCTAACAACATTGTGGTGTTTTGGTGGTTCTGTATCCAATTTTAAATGCCTAAAAAAATGCAATTTTGACAAATAATGAAATTCTATAGGGAGTGAAGCTGTGTTTTGTTTTTCAGGTACAAAGTATTCATGTCAGTTAAAAGTGCAAAATTTTACAAAAGTCGTTGGAATTTACAACATTGTATCTGAATTCTTCAATAAGAATGTAAAGTACTAAATAATATTTTGATTTTGTGGATATGCGTTATACAATTGTTGTAAAATTTTAAAAGCGTTTAATAATTTTTATTTTAATAGTCAAATTCAATTAGGTTTTAAAAACTTTTGGATTTTGACCCAGTGAGTGAAATGGATTCAAGGAAATCTAGCTGTCTACCTCCTTAGTATAGTCATTATACCCTGTTCTTCCTATAATATGTAAAAGAAAAAACAAAAATAATAAGATTATCTGTACAAATCACATTTAGCTGAATAACTGTCAGTGGGTATGCTTGTGACAAAAAGTTAGGAAAGCCATATTTATATAACATTAATGAGCATAAAAATAAAAGTGACTTGCAATAACTGGACATGGTCCACCACAACAGCACTATTGAACAAAGCTTCCACACTATTCACTTAAAATGTGTGTATGATAAATTATCATACAAAAAAAAAAGAACCATGCAATCCTTATAATTACATTTTGGTACTAAAACCAGGAAATGACGAGGTAAATGGAAATTTTCGTGTGCTTTATCTTATAATTCCTTCCCATTGTTAAATTGTCATGGAGAGCATGTGTAGTCTTGGATACTGTGTTGCATTGGGACATGAAACATCACTATAAAGTACCATGTCGTTGTTTACTAATAAAAATAATGAAATTATAACATCACAAAATGACATTATAATATTTCAATACCAAAGCTGTTTAAACATGATAGAATGATACATATACAATCATATAATATATATAGTTATCAAAGATATATGTCTCTGATCTAAAGTTTTATTTTATTTTAAAATAAAAAATAACATGGTTTTAATAATAACTGTTGCTAAAGTAACAGTCATGGAAGACGATTTGTTACAAAGATCTGTATCACAGAAGCATTGTTCCTCTTGTGTTGATATTGTATTACAATTATCGACAGTAGCTCCAGAACATTCTCTTGAATACACTGAAATATATAAAGTGTTGTTAAGATGAAGGAAATATAATCTTTGGGGCCATTAAAGGTCTACTATAATTTCATATCGCTGTTATAGCAATTCACACTCTTTCACTCGCAAGTTTGTCAGTTATGTACGTCAACTGATACAATAATATGAACTGACTTTAATATGTATTGTCCTACACTTATAGCACAGGCACTTGTCTCAGAATTTTTTTCCCCTATATACCTTAATATTAAGGTATATAGGAAATTTTTTTTCTGAGACAAGTGCCTGTGACTTATAGGAGTGTCCAAAGATGCATGAGACATCTGTTACACTGATCTGTGATTACCAACCTGTTATATTACTTACTTTGAGTTCTTGTTATCTTATTGAGACATCGGTTACACTGATCCGTGTTTACTAACCTGTTATATTACTTTAGCACATACTTACAACTTCTCGTCCAATCAAATTACTTGAATTTGCCTTCTAATTTTCATAGTACATACTTTTTCCGTGTACTAAGAAACTACACATGAATGACCACAAGGGTAAGATTTCATTGTATCGTAACCCTGATATTAAAACAAAAATTGCCACTGGCTAAAAATGCTGTGTTCCAAATTAAATTAAATAGTTTGTAATTAGTTTTCACATTGATTTTTAAATATCCTGCTATTAAAATCTTTAGATCTAAAAAGTGTTTTTGACGATTGCAAGTTTCCTTCATTTTAATAAAGAGTAACAAATATGGTTCTTTATACCTTGATTAGAGTACAACGCCATCTTAAAATTGTGATAATTTATCAATATCAATCAAATATTTTATTTTATTTTATTTTATTGTCGTATAAACTTTACAGTTTGTGACCAACATGTATTAACACAATAAACATATATACATACATATCAAACATACAGTAAAAAAACAGCATCAAAATTAATAAAAACAAACAAGCTATTAAGAGTCCCCTGCCCTCAGTTCTAATGACTTTTTCAAGAAGGATCCTAAGTTAACTTATTTGTTTGTAAAGGCGTTGATGGATTTAGTAAATAATGAATTTTTTCTTCTTCATTTAAATTATTAAATTTTTATTTTCAGTACATATGTGTTCAAAAAAGGCATTTCTTAGTGTTTTATTATAATCACAATAGAGTAAAAAATGTTTCTCGTCCTCTAGTATTTTACATTTATGACAAAGTCGTTCCTCTCTTGGGATTTTAAAATATCTCCCCTTTTCAATTAAGAGGGAGTGATCCCTTAATCTAAATTTAGTGATCAATCTCCTTATCTGAAAATTAGATATGTTTAGATAAGATTCTAGTTTGCAATCTTTTTTAAGTGTTTTATATAGATAAAATTTACTTTTATCATCAATGTTTTCAAATTTAGTTTCAATTAAATCTTCATATTTATTTTTCATTTTTAACTTTATATTGTTTTTTATTTTATTTACATCTTTTATGTCCTTACAAATAAAAAGAATATTAAGGTCAATATTAGTCTCTTCAACAATATTTTTTGCATATGTATACCATGAATAAGTTCCAGTCAAATCTAGAGACTGTGCTAGAGAAAAAGCTTCCTTTATCAATGGATTAATATTATTATTATTATATAGTCAAGCTAAATATATTAATAAAACATTCTATAGGCAATCTTCCTAATTCAACTCTTGCTCCTAAATTGGATGCATTTTTCTTATTCCTAGAGTAGATTTACAAAATTTAAGATGCATATTTTCAATAGGGGTTTTGTCTAAAATCAAGTTGATTAATTTGTTTTCCCGAAGATAAGGCTCTGTTTTTGGCTCTATGAAAAGAAATATCTGTATCCAAATATGTTACTTCTGAATTATAGGTCATAATTGGTTTTACTAAAGAATCAAAAAGATTATTTGCTACTTTTATAGGTAGATTATTCAATGATTTAGTATAGGATTTTATTGCAAAAAATAATTTTTTTGCCTTTTTTGTCAGCTCTAAAGTACTTTGTGAGAAATTTCCATTACATTTTATCAACATTCCCAAAAATGAATATTCTGATACGCTCTCTATAGCTTCATTCTCATAGTAAATATGTGATGTTTCATCATTTTGTTTGGACTGACTGAAAATCATGGATTTTGTTTTGTTTGTATTTAAAGAGCGTTGCCATTTGTTGCAATATAATTTAACATTATTTAAACTGTTTTGAAGACCCTCTTTCGATTCTGACAGGATCAAAAGATCATCCGCAAAAAGGAGGCATCCCACTTTACTATTTATAAGCTTAAGGGGACTTGAATCATTTCCCTCAAATTTTTTTACAATATCATTTATGGAGACATTAAATAAAGTGAGGCTCAGGGTGTCTCCTTGTTTAACCCCTCTAGCAATATTAAAAAATTCTGATACATAATCTTTGTATTTCAAAGATGATTTAGTATTTAAGTATTGTTGTTTTATTACTCTGTAAAAAGACCTGCCAACTCCCATTTTGCATAATTTATAAAATAAAGCAGTTCTCCATACTGAATCAAAAGCCTTTTTCAGATCTATAAAGCAGGCATAAATCTTTTTTTTTTTTTCTCTTTATGTAAAATTGAGAATGGAAATGGGGAATGTGTCAAAGAGACAACAACCCGACCATAGAACAGACAACAGCAGAAGGTCACCAACAGGTCTTCAATGCAGCGAGAAATTCCCGCACCCGGAGGCGTCCTTCAGCTGGCCCCTAAACAAATATATATACTAGTTCAGTGATAATGAACGCCATACTAAACTCCAAATTGTACACAAGAAACTAAAATTAAAAATAATACAAGACTAACAAAGGCTAGAGGCTCCTGACTTGGGACAGGCGCAAAAATGCGGCGGGGTTAAACATGTTTATGAGATCTCAACCCTCCCCCTATACCTCTAGCCAATGTAGAAAAGTAAACGCATAACAATACGCACATTAAAATTCAGTTCAAGAGAAGTCCGAGTCTGATGTCAGAAGATGTAACCAAAGAAAATAAACAAAATGACAATGATACATAAATAACAACAGACTACTAGCAGTTAACTGACATGCCAGCTCCAGACTTCAATTAAACTGATTGAAAGATCATGTCTTCATCATATGAATATCAGGCACAATCCTTCCCGTAAGGGGTTTAGTATCATACCATCATAACATATATGAGAAGAACATAACCCGTGTCATGCCAACAACTGGTTTTTAAATAAATGTGTTTAGTTCCGATGCAAAGACCCTATAAGTGAATCAATATTAACGCCAAAATATGCAATCTTTAATGACCTGACAACAGTATCGGAACTATATCCCTTCTTAATAAGTCTATTTAAAGGTTTTGTTAGCTTCAAAGGTGAATACTGACATTTTTGTGCTTTATAAAGAATATATCCATAAAAAATTGGATGTGAAATACCTGAACGTATAAGAAGTCTGCATGTTGAGCTATATTTACGAATGATGTCCTTATACCGATGATAAAATTTAGTAAATGTTTTGACTAGTTTGTGATATCGAAAACCCTGGTGTAATAATTTTTCAGTAATACATAAATTTCTCTCGTTAAAATCTAAAACATTGTTACATACACGAGCGAATCGAACAAGTTGAGATATATAAACACCGTAAGATGGTGACAAGGGAACGTCACCATCTAAAAATGGATAATTTACAATAGGAAATGAAAAATCATCTTTTTTATCATATATTTTAGTATTAAGCTTTCCGTTAATGATATAGATATCAAGATCGAGGAAAGGGCAGTGGTCATTGTTAGTATTAGCTTTATTTAAAGTAAGTTCAACAGGATAAATTTCTTTAGTATACATACTGAAGTCGTCATTATTGAGAGCCAAAATATCATCCAAATATCTAAAAGTATTATTGAATTTGTGTATCAGATGTTGTTTCGATGGGTCTTTGCTGATTTTTGTCATAAATTGTAACTCATAGCAATACAAAAAAAGGTCCGCAATAAGTGGTGCACAGTTAGTCCCCATTGGAATTCCGATAACCTGACGATATACGGAATCTCCAAAGCGAACAAAAATGTTATCTAGTAAAAATTCAAGGGCATATATAGTATCAAAGCATGTCCAATTGACATAGTTTTTTTTGTTTATTTATTGGTACTAAAAAATGACCTAAAAGAGTTTGAACATATATATTCACATTCTGACTTTTTAAATGCCCATTTAATTAGGTGTGTGAATTTTTTCTTAATGAGAATGTGAGGCAATGTGGTATATAGGGTAGAAAAATCAAAACTTTGAACAGATTCAAAATCACCAATATATGCATGCAATTTATCAAGTACTTCCAACGAGTTCTTGACACTCCAAAAGTAATTAATTCCACTATTTTCGAAGGCCTTATTTGAACAATTTATTATCAGGTTTTTGATTGTACCAAGTGTACTGGTAAGAAGAATAGACAATTTAGTAGTGGAACAATGGCTTGAAGACGAAATGAATCTATATTTGTAAGGTGTTTTGTGTAGCTTCGGAAGTAAATATTTATTAATCAAGGACTTCAATAAAAAGATGCTATCAGCTGTTCTGTGATTTTCTCTGAAACCAAACTGACAATCACTTAATTGTTTGTCAACAATCTTGATTAGCCTATTATTCAATATGGCATTAAAAAATTTTGGTAGATTACTTATAAGAGAAATTCTTCTATAATTATTAGGGTCTAACTTGTCACCTTTTTTATGTAAAGGGATCATGAAAGATAATTTCCATGAATCTGGATAATTACCTGTCTTTTAAATAAAATTAAAAACTTTTACAATAGAATTAATTATCACAGGTTGTGAATGTTTGAGTATTTCATTCACAATTCTATCTGGACCTGCTGATTTGTTTACTTTAAGGTTTGAAATGACCAGTTTTACCTCAGCAAATGTAATTGGTGCATCAGTTTCCATATTCAATTCAATATTATCCTCTAGAATGTTTAATTCACGTTCCATGCAGTTTATTTACAAACGGTTTATCATATGATGCTGGTGTACCCTGA